GAGGAAAGACAAACTGAAACAGACATCTCAGGTGCCACCTTCTCGTCTAACCATGCTGGGAACAAGCCCCTATGGTTTCCGGGCTGCATGTGATAACAGTTTGTTAGCATATCCTAAGACCACTGACACTCCAAGCTTCCTGTAGTGGATATTTGTGACCCCTGCTTGCCTTGTGTGCTGGATAATCTGAGTTCACCAAAGGCAGAAACCAAAACCTTCTGCCTCTGCTTCTGCTTCTGCTTGTCTGTATCCAACGCAGCCCAATCCACGGTAAGAGTTCATTTGAGTTTAGCAAAGGAAATCTCCGCTCTCTCCTTGAGAGCTGAAAACTAAGACTTCAAAAGGGGCACAGGGGCCTGCAGATGGATGGCTCCGCTGGCAAAGGCAAATGACACGAGACTCACAAACTGAGTTGGAGCTCCAGAACCTACATAACAGGAGAGAACCAACTCCAGTAAACTGTTTCTGACCTCAACACCCATGCCAGAGCATGTGCACACACATACCAACACATGCACACACACACCCAAAAAAGTAATGAAGCATTTTTAAAGGTGCATGGGTCGAGTATAGTGGCATAATATATATGATAAATATTATATATCATACATATTGTATATAAAATATATCATATATTATTATAATAACCTATAATCCAGCACTCAGGAGGCTAGAGCAGGAGGATGGAGAGTTTGAGGACAGCCTGGACTACACATAAAAAGAAAAATAGGAGCATGAGTTTGCTTCCTCCATCTACCCCTTACGGCCATGTCTCTTACTTCTGACAATAGCGAGTGGACCTCTGGTCTTCCATATCTCCTTTTCAATAACACACCCTCGCAAACTCTGAGATCTTTCCTGATTAAACATTGTGAGCTTCCTAGTTCTCTCCAATTCTGAATTTAAAGGAGCTCATTAGATATTAAAAATGTTAAATTAGACACCATAAGGAAGGAAAGAGGGAGAGATCCAACTATAAGTGACAAATAGGAAGCCCTCACATGTTTGAAGTATGGATGGAATGGATGGGTGGATAGATGATGGATGGATGGATGGATGGATGGATGGGCAGATGGATAATGGATGGATGGGTGAGTTAATGTCTTTCGCTGGTCTTATAAGCAAAGCAAATAATTGTTCAGTTACCAGAGATCAGAGTGTCAAGGAATCTTAAGTCTTGAAAGTGGGGTGAGTTGATGCTGAAGATAGTTGGACTGACTATACCTCTGAGTGCCCCCAACTTTGGGGATTTGTACTGCCTTTGAGAGAGTGGTACCTTAAGTCCTTGATTGAAGAATTCCATTGTTGCCTCTCTGGTTCTGAACTTGCACATGGGTTCCACATATGTCAAACACCAAGCCAGCAAAGTGTAAGGCTAAGAAGCCAAAGCAGCCCTTGACTTTCAGCCCACTGAACCACTCATTTTGATCTCTTCTGAGCTTCCTTCCCAACCATTTACCTACCCTAAAAGGAAAACTCCATGGTGGGAGCCTGTCTAAGAAATAGATTCCAGGAGGAGCCAATGGTCATGGGGAGAACTCAGGAGCCATGGAAACCGTCAGGAACTGGAGGCCATGGGCCAGAGAAGTCAGGCATTGGGGACCCTACCATAGACTGTTCCAGTCTCTGGCCCTGACTCTCATTTGTCATTTCATAATAAGAGCCTATCATTCTTTCCAATGATACATGATTCTCTTTGTTTGCATACATTACTTCTGCTAAAAAGAAAAAAAGTAAGACCTGAATATAGGAGGGGATTATTAGGGGTAGCAGAGCTGCTGCAGGGAAAACACGAGCTCAGCATCATCCTTTCCAATTGCTGCCAACCACACTTGGGAGGAACCGCTCTCAGGGAGGAGGCACTCAGATGGATGTTTCTGAGGATTCCATTCTCCTGGGTGCTCACCAAGAAAGCCAGGGGGTACCTAGAGCATCCAGCTCCTAAAGGAGGTGGGGCTTAAGTTGAGTTCACAGAATTTGCCAGGCAACAAGGGCCAGAGCATCCTGAGCAAGAACCAACTTCCTCCATCCAAGTCATGTTTTCACTAGTGGGTTGGGTCAAGAGGATCCCAGCCCTAGATCCCCCAATCCATAAACCCTGTTCTTGGACACATCCCTCAGCCTCTCCAAGCCCATTTCTCCCCCCTTGTCATATGAATCTGGGTGTTTGTTTGCAGAGCTTTTGTGAGAATTAAACGTGTGTGGCAGTATGGAAAACATTTTAAGAAATGTCACTTCCTTTTCTTCCTCGAAGCTACACGCCCAGCCTTGACATGTCACTAGCAGGAACATCAAAAGCATGACTGGGATTTGAGGACTGGAGGCTTTTTCTACCCAGCCATTCATAGTCTGTTTACTCCCAGGTGGCTTTCCCAAAACCCATCCTAACACACTCTCTGTGTAAGCTCCAGAGGAGAAGGAGAGGAGGGGCTAGCTTCAGAGATGTCACCAACAATGCAAGAAAAACAAAAGCCAACATCCAGGGTTGGTGAGATTGCTCAGTGGGTAGAGGTACTTGCTACTAAGCCTGACTACCCGAGTTTGAGCCCAGAATCCCACATGGTGGAAGGGAAGAATGTGCCTCTGGAAGTTGTCCTCTGACCTCCACATCTTCACTCATACGCTTGTGCGTGCACACACACATACACAGAGAGACACAGACATGCACACACGTATGTGTGCACACACAGAGAGATTAAACAAATATAATAAGAAATTTTTATTTCTTTATTTTTATTGATATGTATAGGTATTTCACCTCATGTATTTCTGTGCATGCAGTGCCCATGGAGACTAGAAGAGGGTGTCAGATCCCCTGGAACTGGGCTTTTAAAACAATATCCAGGCCTAGTCCTCATCATGGGACTCATAAGACCTGAGAATATGAGACCAAGTGTCACCTTCTATGGGGCTTGAGGGACAGGCTGCAATTAAATTATAGGAAAATCCTATAAAACGCTTTGGAATGTTTTATGAAGCTATCGATATTTCCACCAGAATGGAGCACACGGGAGGCAGTGGACAGGGGTGAACTGAGTGTGGGAAGATCTCACTTATCCCCGCTAGTGACCGATCAAGACTGATGAGGGCTCAGAAGCAGCTCTCCAAAAAAAAGACAGTATGGTCTCACTTTTATGGCACCCTCGGAGAAAGAGTGTTATCTTGAATGTGTGTGTGTGTGTGTGTGTGTGTGTGTGTGTGTGTGTGTGTGCACTCAAGCACAAATATGAGTGTGGGTGTATGTGTGGGTGAGTGGGTGGGTGCATGATTATGGAGGATGTGCATTGTGGGTATGTGTGTATGCAGACAAGTAGGGGTGGGTGGGGGTGTATGTGTGTGCACACACATAAGTGTGCATGGGTGTGGATGTATGTGTGGGTGAGCGGCTGGGTGCATGGGTGTGGAGGTATGTACATGGATGTGGAAGTGTACATGGGTGTGTGTTTGTTTGTGTGTGTGTGTGTGTTATTTCTTCAGGGTTGGCACCAAAAGTCAGACTTGGGGTCATTAGTCTTTGGGAGAGTAATGCCCTTTGGGTAGCTCAACACTGATGCTCTGCCCTTCTGCCTTGGGAAACAGAAATGCACCTCAAATTCTATTTACAGTGCTACTACATTCATGGACCCCAAGTTTACAGTACCTTTTCATCAAAATTAAAGCACTTTCCTTTTTTTAAGACTTATTTTGGTCTTTATATGTTTGTTTGTATATGAGTAGGTGTGTGCAGTGCTGGTAGAGGCCAGAAGAAGGTGTCAGGTCGCCCTGAAGCTGAAGACACAGGTGGTTGTGAGCTGCCATGTGGGTGTTGGGAATTAAACCTGGGTCCTCTAGAAGAGCAGTCAGTGCTCTTAACCACTGAGCCATCTCCCCAACCCCTAAAAGACTTCCTATTGAAATATTTTTTAATGGAATATTCCTTACCTACACCTGCCCAGTGTCCTAACAGCTTTTCCAGGTGTGAACAAAGCTAAACTTTACAATAGGAGAAAGCAGGTGAAGAAAACCTCGGCTGAACCTGCCTGGGCCGCATGAGTCTCCTGTATCCCAGCATGACCTCAAACTCCACAGCTATGAATGACCTTGAACTTCTCTTTTTACACTTATTTATTTACAATGTGGAGGAGTAAACTGGCTGTGTCAGTACATACCTTTAATCCCAGCAGAGGCAGAGGCAGGTGGATCTCGAGTTCAAGGCCAGCCTGTCTACAGAGCGAGTTCCAGGACAGCCAATGCTACACAGGAAAGCTGTCTCAAAAAAACAAAAAATAGAAAGTTAATACAACAATATGTTAACAGGAAGCTAAAAACAGGGAACTGAGGAGATGGCTCAGCCGGTAAAGGTGCTCACCATCAAGCCTGGTGACCTGAGTCCAATCCCCTGGACCCATACGGTGGAAGGAGATGGTAACTCCCACAAGGTGTCCTCGGACCATCACATGTGTGCTGCACACACACAAGAAAGAGGAAAGAAAGGAAGGAAGGAAGGAAGGAAGGAAGGAAGGAAGGAAGGAAGGAAGGAACAAACGAACGAAGAAAGAAGTGTTTAGATTTTAAAGAACAAGAAAACAGATCTATTACATTAGTCGTTGAAATTTATTTTTTAATTTTTTTTGGTTGTTGTTTTGTTTGTTTGTTGTTTTAAGACAGAGTCATGTTCTGCAGTCCTGACCCAATATCTGCTATGTAACCCATGTTGGCCTCAAATTTATGGCAGTACTGCCTCAACCTCATATGCTGAAATTACAGGCATGAGCCACCATGTCTGGCTAAAATTCCTTCAAAATAAAACATTTGTTCTAAAGTTCAGATTTATGTATACTTAGCTGAGGACAGAAAGGAGTGATTGTTGGTTTCCTGGTGCCCAGGCACACCAGGGGAGGCAGGCACACTCAGCCTCTTCCAGGATAGGTTTTGGAGCCCACGAGCCGTAAGCACCCAAGTCCTCTGAGAGTTGGCACCCAGAGCCTAACCCCACCCCCACTGCTGTCTTGGGGCTGCAGGACTACAGGGTCAACATCTTCCTGAGGCAGCAGTGGAATGACCCCCGTCTGGCCTACAATGAGTACCCTGACGACTCCCTGGACCTTGACCCGTCCATGTTGGATTCCATCTGGAAGCCTGACCTGTTCTTTGCCAACGAAAAGGGAGCCCACTTCCATGAGATCACCACTGACAACAAATTGCTGAGAATCTCCCGGAATGGCAATGTCCTCTACAGCATCAGGTGAGCTCTGGAACCAATGATAGGCACAGAGAGAGGGTGGGACAAAGGCTTGTGAGAGAAGGTGGCGTTTAAGTCACCCTGTGTTTCAACAAAAAGGCAAAATAGACTTCTCAGACAGGATCGGTAGCAAGTCTAGAGGAACAAAGCTTGCCAAGACACAGCAGCTTGGCGGTAAATGGGACTACCGGGTAAATGGCACATTCCACGAGAATGAGCCAGGATTGCTGCCTCCCTGCCCTAAATCCCACTTGCCTTGTATTAAACCTTGGGAGACAGGACCTCTCCCGTGCCTGTAGCCTATAGACATTAGTTAAGTGCTAAACTTTCAGAGTGTCCTGTGACACCTGCTCCCTGTCCCCTACACACACACATACACACACACACACACACACACACACACACACACCTCTAGTCCCTACTCTCCTCCCCCAGGGCACAGGGACAATGGACAACGCAAATGGAAAAATAGGCTCACGCTCACAGCACTGGCATCTTGGAGAACGTACCATGCAGAGCTCTGCTTATGTATTTTATCATTATATAACTCATGAGTTAGGTTTGATGATCCCATTATATACATCAGAAAAGTACGGATGTGGAAACTTAGGAAACCTTCCCAAGTTTTCGTGGTTCCTGTCAGAAAGTAAGTTCTGATAGGGTACTAGTGTGGGTCCCATGCCCACTGGAGAATTAAAAGAGCCGCAGCTTTCCACCTGGGTCCCAGGACTTCTGAAGAATCAGAACGGCCATGGGCCACCGCTTAACATCTGCACATCAATACATGATAATGAACGGATGTGTTCTGACTTAAAGGAGCTTCAGAGAGCTAAGTGACCATCCCTTCTACCTTCAGTTCCTCAGTGGGAGAGAAGTCTCACCTCCTATTCAGAGAGGAGCCTTCAATATCCAGGATGGGGCAGGCTGGAAAGGGCAGAGGCTGGGCTGATCCTGACCCTCAGAGGGGAGTGGGCTCAGTACCCCCACAGTCTGTGGGGAAGGGACGTGGAACCCTCACCACCCTGCGGATTGACTTCACCCTAGCAGCCACATTTAGATGAAGAATGACACGGGTCTCGGAGTCAGCCACCAACGCCCCCCCCCCCCCCGTGGGTTGCTGGAGGGAGGGTCACCTCTGTCTGGAAGTCTCTGCTGCCAGGACAGTTTCATGTCTCTGGGAAGCAGAGTCCCGGTGCAACCTGACAGAAGGACAGGTCAGCAGAAAGCAATGGTCCCAAGGTCATTCCGCATCTGGAAATTAACCCGGTCTGACAGCTGCCCGGCTTCGGAGCTTTTATCTTCAGAAATGGGCCTCGCTCATTTTCTCTTCACTCCCCCCGCCCCTTCGCTTCATCCCTTCTCCTCCCTCTTCCTCCCTATCCCCCTCCTTTTTTTTTTTAATGTCCTTGGAGGACATCCACACACCTGTGGTGTGAGCCGGAAAGGGACATTCACCAAGGGCCAGGTGTGCAGCTGCGGTGGTAGTGGCTATGTTCTATGGGGACATCTCTAACTGGGTACCTCAAAGAAGTAGAGCTGACCTCAGGACAGCAGGGAGTTATGTCCACCAATCCCAGAATCAGCTACCAGCCTGGGGTGTCACTGAAGGGGTTCCCTCTGGCTCTGGGGCTGCAGCTTTTATAAGGGTTGCACACCCCCAAAATAAATAACTGGCCCACTGCTCTTCATCTGTCCCTACCTGAACCCACAGATGTGAGTCAGCTGTGTGGGAAGAGTCAGCGGTGGGGGAAGGGGGACTCACTTTTGACAGGCCCCGTGTGTGGCTGGAAGCAGCTGAGAGCCATGTGCAGCACTTACTGCTAAAGCATAGGAACACCTGGGGCTGGGGACTCAATGGAGAACCTGAAGGAAGAACTGGCGTAGGGCAGCATCTGGCACCCCAGCAACCTGCTAAAACAGAGGTCTCTAGCGTCCAAGAAAGTTTCAGAGAAATCCAGAAGTCCCTCTGACTCTGGCCACCTCCTTTCCATCACCAAGCCTCCTCTGCCATCCCAGGAATTTGGAAATGTGAACACATTTCTTCTCTAAGCACTGGTCCTCGGGTCTCCGGTCCCCACCCTAAAACAATGATTTCAACTGGCAAAAGCATGGAGGCACAGACTCCTTAAGTGTGGTCCCCATATCAGCCCAGTCCCTTCTCTTCTCAGAATCACCTTGACGCTGGCCTGCCCCATGGACCTGAAGAACTTCCCGATGGACGTACAGACATGTATCATGCAACTGGAAAGCTGTGAGTTCCTTGCCAGAATCGTTTTTAGGTTTTTGTTTTGTCTTGTTTTTTAAAGGAACCAGGCCCCTATGTACCCATTGCTAGGTGGGAGGGCTGGGGAATGAATTTCAACAATTCGCCTCCTATACAAGGGAGGTAAAGAAGAAAAGGCAGTGGGATCCCCTGACCTCCACCATGATCTGAGGCTTCATCAAGCCTTCAGCCCTAAGTGTAACACAGAGACCTTGCTGACTGTTCCTTCTCCCGATCCCTCCCAGTTGGATACACCATGAATGACCTCATCTTTGAGTGGCAGGAGCAGGGGGCGGTGCAGGTGGCAGACGGACTGACCCTGCCTCAGTTTATCCTGAAAGAGGAGAAGGACCTGAGATACTGCACCAAGCACTACAACACAGGTGGGTGCCAGAGACTGTCATGCCATCCCCAGGGCATCTCAGACACCATTCAGTCGCAGAACTGCGTGGTCTGTGTTTATCACCTGGTGGTTAATGGAATAGGTTTGGACAAAAAAAAATGCCAGTGAGATGTTATTTCTGTGAGTTCTGGGGATGTTAACATAAGCCCAGGCCACACCTAATTACAAAGGAAGCTAGTAAATACTCTTCATTCTGAGTAGGGGGTCCTGCCGCTGAGGCTAGGAGGAGGAGCTGGTAGACGGAGTGTGGGCTCTGCCACACAGAAACTTGTGTGCAGAAGTAAAGTGCTTGCCTTGGACCCAACCAAGCAAGAGGGAGCTGGGAGGTTCTCAATGGTAATCAGTAAACATTAAAAATTGGTTCATTCTCTGGGAGCCATGGTGAGTAGAGAAGGGGAACCCAGACACTTGGTCAGCTGTCTGTCATCCATGACGGGTCTAACCTTTGCTAGGAGAGACTGAATTCAGGAAGGAACTGGGATTAGACCATAAGACTATATATACCCCATCTCAGACAGGAAGCCAGCTCGTGTGAGCACTGTTGGGAGGGGCAAGAGGACGGGCATGCTAACTGGCATACTCGTAAGAAGCTGTGCCTGATCTTAGCTGAGCAGAGGGGAGGTGTGCCTGCTGTAGGAGAATGGCAGGTCCAGGCAGACAGGGGCGCAGGAGAAGCCACTGTAAGTGGAAGCCCCTGTGAGAGACAGGCAGCCTGGGCTCTGGTCTGCCTAGGACAGCTTCAGCTTTCTGGGTCACTACACAGAAGTCTCCGGATGTCTGAAGATGTACTTGGCCCCTGAGTGTGCTGACTCTGAGATAACAGGACTCCCAGTGGGTCCAAATGACACAACAGATCCTCCCAAGCCACAGGCTTTACCAGTGTGCGGCATCTTCCTTTTTACCCCACTCTTTCCTGGGCTAGAATTGACTGACAAAATGTAATAGTGTATGTATTGAAGATGTACACCTTGATGCGCATGCGATCGACTGTAAAATGGAGACCACAATCAAGCCAATGGATATGTGCCACACCTCGTGCATGTGTGTGTACACACACGTACACCTAATATCCTCTTGGCAAAGGGCTGAAGGACTGTGTATATGGATCAGGGCCAGGAACACAGTACAACATCTCCAGAGTTTAATAATCTTGCATGACTGAGTCTTTGCACCCTTTGACCACTATCTCACTTAAACTCCACCATTCCACCTTCCGCTTCTGTGAGTTTGCTTGCCACAGACCTTATGCATAACTGAAATGAAAAAGTACTTGTCTTTGTAGCTGGCTCACTTCACTTGGTAGGAAAGGGCCTGCCAATTCCATTCATATATTTGAAAATGGCAGGATCTATCTATCTATCTATCTATCTATCTATCTATCTATCTATCTATCTCGTGTGTGTATATACAAATATGTGTTACTATGCTTGTACACAAAGAAGTCAGAGGATGGCAGGTACCTTCCTCTATCACTCTCTGCTTTCTTTTTAAACTGGGACTAATGTTTGGGGTAGACTGGCTGGCAGAAAGCTCCTGGGATTCACCTGCCTCCTCCCCAGCACTGGGATTACAGCTGCTCACCCAAACAAGAATTTTACCCAATAAGCCATCTCCTCTGCCCAATTTTCTTATTTTTAAGACTAATACTCTATTATTTTTCTCTTCTCATCCATTGCCTCCTGATGCAACAATAACCTTTTATATATCCATCTAGAAAGTAAAGGAAGGATTTCAGAGACGTGATTGTTCTGTGCCTGCAACAGCATTACTGACAGCAGCCAAGAGGTGGAAAGAGGCGGATGGGCAGGGAACCTTCCCTCTCCTTCCCTCCTCCACTCTACACCTTTACGGTCTTGGATCAAGCCCTCTGGGGACAGAGGTGGAAGATGGACAGGGCACTGATCACATGGAGCCCCATGAAATCTCCTGGTCCCCAGCTTCAGTAGACAGGAACTTAGACCCTTCCCTGGGACAGGCATGGTCCCAGTTCCAGTAATATATGAGTGAAAAGAGACAAAAGGCTGGCCCAGTCCAGTGCCAAAGATCGAAAGAGAGAGACTGGCTGACTCACTTACTCACTCACCAGCGGTTCTGTGACTTCAAGGCTTGGGTGATCTCATGAGCAGAACTGAGAACACACCAAGGAAAGGAGCCTTCTGCCACTTTGTGGATAAGTGTTCCTGCGAGAGGAAAGGCGTTTCCTGGGCTGAGGGAAGGAAGAGGAGCAAAGATATCGGCAAGATCAGAGTTCAGAAGGGTAACGGAGTAGGCAGGCGTGCTCCAGACAAGGACAGGGGACAGAGAGTGGCCATTAGGGTAATGGAAGAGGGAAATTGCTAGAAATACAGGCCAGAGGTCAACAGGGCAGGACAGTCTACAGAGTTTGAACTCCCTGTAGAGGACAGGAAATGTTTCATATAAGAAAAGAAGGAGCAAACAAAGGGATTCTTAAGCGGCGTTGGGATTAAGTCATTTTAAAACCCAAGAGTTAACAGAAAGAAATGTTTAGGAAGAAATAAAGATGTCCAAGAGTGTGGGTATGAACATCTCAAATAAGAGTCATCAAACAAAAGGTTTACAAGAAGTGATAGAATTGAGTCATGTTTGGGGACACCAGAGCAGAAGGGTCTGGAAACTCCACCTGTACTCTCTCTTAGCAAACAAATGGTGGTGGTGGTGGTGATAGTGATGGTGGTGGTGGTGGTGATGGTGGTGGTAGTGGCGGAGGCAGTGGTGAGTGTGACAATGACGGTGAAGATAATTAAAATGATGAAAATGATGAAGATGGCAATTAAGCTGATCCCAGTGATGGTGGCAGTGATGAAGATGGTAATGACTCTAAAAGGACAATGGTGATCGAGATGACAGTGATAATGACGTTGGGGATGGTGATAGTTATAATGATGACAGTGGTCATGATGGTGGTGGCAAATGAGGCTGCTGAGTACCCACGATGTGTGAGGACTGTCAGAGTTCTTCATAAGCACCATCTCATTTCAGCCCACTAAAACCACAAGAGCCGCTATGTGAGGGCCGGCAAGAGGATTCCAAGGGTAAAGCGCTTGCCACTAAGCCTGGCAACCGTAGGTTGCTCCTCGGGAGCCACATGGTGGAAGGATAAGCTCCCACAAGCTGTTCTCTGACCTCCACACAAGGGCCGTGGTATGGCAAGCCCGCTTGTGCATACACACCCCACAAATGAATAAATAAATGTAAATTTTTAAAAAGGGTCACCATATGAAGTATGTATTGTTCATCCTTTAGTGTTCCCAGGAGGTTGTCTCCAGGACCCCCTCAGATACCTAGAGGCAAAAATGCCAAAGATGCTCAAGCCCCCTTGGTAGAGTGGGGGAGTGTCTGAATATAACATACACACATCTTTCTGCACACATTATCTTTGGGTGACTGACAATACCTAACTCAGCATAAATGCTGTGTACACAGATGTTCGCCTGTTGTCTGAGGTGTGATAACAGGAACAAAGCCTGCATACATTCAGAGGAGATGAACTTCTGAATATTTATTTCTACTTGCACTTGGCTAAAACCATGGATGTAGAACCCACGGATGTGGAGGGTCAACTGTATTACACCATTTACCCTAGGTGAGGAAACTGAGGCCCAGCACAATTCAAGCACTTGCCTATGAGTACAGACAACATGGGGCTCAATCAGGACTCCAGTCAAGCTGACCCTAATACCGCTGCTACTCTCTAGCATGTTCCATGGCTCCTTTGCTGTCATTCCTTGCAGGTAAATTCACCTGCATTGAGGCCCGATTCCACCTGGAGCGGCAGATGGGCTACTACCTGATCCAGATGTACATCCCCAGCCTGCTTATCGTCATCCTGTCCTGGATCTCCTTCTGGATCAACATGGATGCTGCACCAGCTCGTGTGGGGCTGGGCATCACCACTGTGCTCACCATGACCACCCAGAGCTCTGGCTCCCGAGCCTCCCTACCCAAGGTGAGTGGCACCATTGTAGAGTACTGAACCCTAGACTAGAGAAGAAGCCAGCATCCCTCATCCCTGCCTGAGACATGAGGAGCATATAATGTGTCACCATGTATATACATGCTGTGTGTAGCATTGTTTCCAGAAGTCTCTGTCTGGATCACAGTTTCTAGGTTCTTAGCATCTTATTCAAAGAATTAGAGGGTGAGGGAAGATGAATACAGTTTGTGAAATAGTAGGAAAACTTATTCGTAAGTAAATCCAGAATATAAATTAGGTACCCTGCCAAAGAGAGCAGCAGCAGGCCACCGGAGTGAGAGAGGGCTCAAGGGTCCAGTCACTGTGTGGGACTTCTTTTTACGGGTCCTGAAGGAAGGAGGGACTGATGGCTAATGAATATGATCTGGGTGGTTCTCTATTGTGATTGACAGATTCGAGTTATATAAGCTTTATTGTGCATGCTTCTTTTCCATGATGCATCTGATTTTAATCACATGTACACCCAATTATGTAGAGGTATAAAACAGTAAATAAGGGTCAGGGTACGGTGGCACACGCCTTTAATCCCAGCAGATTGGCAAGCAGGAGCAGGTAGATCTCTAAGGTCAGGCCAACCTGATCTACATAGTGAGTTCCCTACTAGCCAGGACTACATAACGATCCCCTGTCTCAAAACAAAGAACAACAGCAACAAAAGATGGTAAAGAAAGAATTTTCCCTACCAGTTTGTTCACGCTTCCAAAACCAAATCAGACTGGATCAGCCCCCTCCTTCCTATACCCAGATACATCCAGGAAAATATTTGAATAGAAACTATCCACAAAGGGCAAGTTCTTCATGGCCGTTATCCATTGTCCACAGTGGGCACACAGCATGATGCAGGCCCAGTTTCTGCTCCACTTACTCTAACTGTCCACGGCAATTCCCACTCTGTCTGCTAGCACCAGACACAGCACTGTGCTCTGCTGTTCACACCAGGCCCATGCTGGTGATAAACAGTGTCTGCACCGTTTCCAGTCGGGACCACACATGGCTTCTGCTTTCACACAGGGACTCCGAAATCTCTATATAAGGAGATTGATAGATACAGAAATAGCCACATAGTATAGAAAGATGCTATTTGTAGATAAGGTAGACAGATGTATTAGATGGCATACATGTATACATAAATACATTCGTGCATGCATACATACATACATACATACATACATACATAGACACTTCTAGCTAGCATTAACTATCAACTCAATACAACCTAGAGTCATCTAAGGGAGTCTCAACTGAGGGGTTGCACAGATCACATTGGTCTGTGGGCATGTCTATGGAGGGATTGTCTTAATTGTTAATTGATGTAGGAAATGCCAGCCCACTGTGGGCAGGGCCATCCCTATGTAGGTGAGCCAGAGCTATATAAGAAAGCTAGCTGAGCACAAGTGAGCAGAGAGGAAGCCAGCAGCAAGTAAGAGTCTTCCGTGGTCTCTGCTTCGAGGATCACTCTGAGTTCCCACCCTGATTTCCCTCAGTAATGAAATGTGACCTGGAAGTGTCATTCAAATAAGTCGTTTCCTCCTCTGGTAGCTATGGGTCAGAGCATTTGTCCCAGCAACAAAAAAAAAACAAGAACAGATAGATAGATAGATAGATAGATAGATAGATAGATAGATACATGCATACATACATACATACATGACAGATGAGTAGACAGCTGTCTACTCATTATAGAACATTATAGGAGGACATTATAGAAGATCAATGATATATAGATAGATGATAGGTTATTAATAGATTAAGAGATATTGAGAGCTGATTATTAAACAGATGATAGGCATAGGGTAGGTTATTGATCAATTATTCTACCTCTTTTTGCCTCTTCTGAGGCTCTAGTCATCATGTGTTGGTGGCTTTGGTGGTTTCCCATGAGTCTCTGTGCTATTTCCCATGAGTCTCTGTGGCTGTGCTCCTCTCCCCTCATTCCCCACCCCGCAGACTCATGATCTTGATGCTGCTGACTTCTCTCCAAGTTCTCTGGTTCTTTCTTCTACCTCCTCACACCCACTGCTGTCTCTCTAGTGAAATTCCCATCTTAATTATTGACTTTCAACATCAGAGTTTTCATTTGGCTCTCTTGTAATTTTTACCTTTTTACTAGTGTGTTCTGTGTGGTAAGAGAACGGTCTCAAATGTTCCTTTAGCTTCCTTGTGTTGTTTTTGTTTTATTTGAGACAGACCACTCTGTAGCCCAGGCTGGCCTTGAATACATGGCAATTCTCCACCCTCACCCTCCTTAGTCGCGGGACTAAAGATGTGTGCCACCACGCTCAAATTCCTATACACAGTTTCTTTCGATTGCTTGAATATATTTAAGATAACTAATTTAATGTCTTTGTCTACCCAGTATGATAGTGGCACACACGCCCTAAGCAGGCAGAGACGGGAGCATCAAGAGTTCTAAGTCATCCTCAGCTGTACAGCAAGTTCAAGGCCAGCTATATGATACCCTATCTTTAAGAATAATAAAATTAAAGGGACTAGATAGATGGTTTAGAGATTAAAACCACTCATTGATCTTGCAGAGGACCTTAGCTCAATTCCCTGCTCCCATAACACAGCTTCCTATATATCTAACCCCAAATGATCCGATGCCTCTAGCCTTTGGGCACATGCTCATACATAGACACAATACATACACATAACTAAAAATAAAATAAAATGTTAAGGCTGTTAAGTCTGATATCTGGTGTCCTCAGGTGCCACCTCTTTGACCCATATTCTTTTTTCCTGTAACTGGGTCATATTTTTCTGGTGGGAGAGTTATTTTTTGTTTTGAGTTGTTTGTTTGCTAGTTTTGCACACCTAATAAATCGCTCGTATTACATAATACAACATGGCCATTTTTGGAACTCAGGTTCTACCCCCTAAGGACTTGTTGTTGACATTTATTCTTTGTCCGAGCTGGTTCTGTGAACCCTGTATTCTGTGTTATGTCAACCATTGAAGTCTGGCTCACTCAGCCTGGTGGCCACACAAAAACCACAGATTTTTATGGAATGTCCCCATCTCCTCCTGAGAAAGTCTGCTAGAGTCAGCATTAGCCAGGCAGTGCACCACTTGGCTTCAGCTTTTACTTCCTGCTCGGGGTCAGGGTGTCCTGGGTTGTCCATGAGCACTCATAGATTAGCCTGCTGTGATGGCATCTCGTGACGTGGCTCACTTTCCTGAACTTTTTATTTGGCATTGCAAAGACTTGAACCCAGGCCCTTGAGCTTGCTGGGCAAGTGCCCCACTACTGAGCTCTCTCCCCAGTCCCCTCTTTCGTGTTTTTGATTAACCTATCTCTGCCTCAGTGCCTCCGATAGCAACTGCCACAAATTGTTTTCAACCAATGTCCCCCAGATTAAAAAGACACAAATGAAAACTGTTCCCAGGGCCCCCACTCCAAATCAGGTCAAAGAAAGGCAGCCAGTGAGCAGGCGTTCTAAGGGGACAGCAGAGGAGGCCAAAGGCAGAGGAGGGCAAGGCCCTGGGAACCAGAGTCAAGCAGCTCCTCTGCCCTCTCCATTGGCTGCCTGATGGTTGGTTATTACTGGGCTTTTCCGGCTGCTGATTTTCAAGGCTACTGTGGTCTGGAGGGTTAGGATGGGAGAAGAGCCAGTTAAAGCGCCCGAAGCCCCCAGGGGAAAGGAATCAGGGCACACAGACTCTCTACAGGGCAGATCACAGCCTCACTCTGAGTTCCACCAAAAGATGGAGATAATTGATATCCAACGGCCAATGGACAGACAAAAACAGTGCTGTGTATCCATACAATCGAATAGTATTAAGCCATAAAAATAAACTGTTGAGGTTGGACAGACAGCTCAGCAGTTAAGAGCACTTGCTTCTCTTGCTGAAGGCCGCCATTGGGTTCCCAGCACCAATGTAGGGCAGTGCATAAACCACCTGTAACTCCAGCTCTAGAGGGAACTGATGACCTCTTCTGGCCCCCACAGGCCCTGCACTCATGTACGTCTACACATACAAATGCAGGCATAGACATACAAATAAATATAAAATAAATACTTAAAAATAAATAGATGCAAATAAATCACCACTGTTGTACGTAGCAGTTAGATAAGCCTAAAAAATATTATAAGTGAGATAAACCAGGCATGGAAGGAGACATGTTGTAATATTATGTCATAATGGAATTCGGGAATGTTCAGAACAGAGAAACCACAGAAACGCAAAGCAGATTAGTTGATCTTCAGAGTTGGGGAAGCAGAGACGTGATGGGTAAAAGATACCAGCTTTCAATTGTTTTAAAGCAATGCTATGAACTTGCTAGTCTCTCCACAATCCAGCTGCTTTTGTTGTTGCTGTTGTTACTTTTTCGTTCATTGGACAGGGGGTGGCACATGTCAGCAACAGAGTCAGAGAACAATTTAGGAGAGTTGGTTCTTCACTTCCACCGCGTGGGTCCTGGGGTTTGAACTCAGGTCATCGGGCTTGTCAGCAAGTGCCCTTTTCCACTGAGCCATCTCTCAGCCATCAACTGCTTTCCTTGAATAAATTCCCTCAGGATGGCTATGAGACTTTGGTATTAATCAACAGAGGTCTGGGTCATGTGACTGTAGCAGTTTCTGCCAGTGCGGTCAATGATTCTGGAAGTGACAGTTTCTGAGGATCTGACAGTGCTGCTTGCTAACAGCCTCCTTTCATGCCAACGCTCAGTCCAGCATCCTCCCAAACTGGGATACGATGCTCCACTCCAGTGCGCCATCCTCCTCTCTTCCCTTCTCACATCGGCATCATATCTTTTCCCTGACATTCTGCCCAGCTTGTTCCATGTGCTTTCTCTATCTTCCTCTGCTCCTTCCATCCGAATATCCCAGCTGAAGAGCAGAGGGGAGTGAGGGAAGTTACTGAAGAGCAGGCAATGCCCCATAAAGACAATGGTACCAAACCCTATATGCCATATTCCTTTCCTATGCATACCATAATTTTGTCGACAATGTGTTCTGCTGTGGTGCTGGACAGATGGCTCAGGGGTTAAGGGTGCTTGCTGCTCTTGCAGAGGACCCACGTTCAGTTCCCAGAACCACACTGGGCAGCTCACAACTGTCTATAACTCCAGCTCCGGAAGATCTGATGACCTCATCTTGTCTCTGCAGATGCTATACTCACATGCATATATACACTGAAACGTATAATTTAAAAATAAAAATTTTAAATGTATCCTTAGGCTGGAGAGGTGGCCCAGTGGTTAAGAGTACTGACTGCTTTTCTAGAGGACCCAGGTTCAATTCCCAACACCCACATGGTGGTAGCTCATAACTTTCTGTAGCTGCAGTCCCAAGGGGTCCTGTGCCCTCTCTGGCCTCTTCAGGAACTGCAGGCATGTGGTACATACACACACACACACACACACACACACACACAGAGGCAAAATATCTATATATAAAAAACATAAAATAAAAAATAAACCTGTAAAATTAAAAAAAGGTTAGGATTTTCTTAAAAATGTGTTACTGATGTAGATCTTAGCAATGTCAACAAGAGGTACTTTCCATATTAAATTGAGAACTTTGCCGTTTTGTTTAAAAGACGCCTTTTGTAGCTTTTCTGATCATATCCAAATTCCCAACATCTCTGTGTTTGCACTCTGGAGCCATTATTAAGTAAATTAAGCTTTGGCCAGAGTCCATCTGATAATGCGCGTGGCCACACCGTGACTGATAGAAGGGTAGTGAACGCAGAGTGGATACGCTTGGGAGAGACTGGCTTATGTTATCGGCAGGACGGAGTAGGACAACGCGAGAGTTCATCGCACTGTTCAGAACAGGGCAGGACCTAAAGCTTACAAACTGCTTATTTCTGGAATCTTGCACCCACTATTTCCGGACCTTTTCCTCTCCCCTCACTTCCCCGTGCTTTCTCCCACCTTCGCTCCAGGTGTCCTATGTGAAAGCTATTGACATCTGGATGGCCGTTTGCCTGCTCTTCGTGTTCTCGGCTCTGCTGGAATATGCGGCCGTGAACTTTGTGTCCCGGCAACACAAGGAGCTGCTGCGATTTAGGAGGAAGCGGCGACATCACAAGGTAGGCCTTTGGGGCGTGGCCTAGGGAGGGGCAACTGGTGGACAGAGGAAGAGCTATGAGCAGTCCTGTGACCCTGGCTTCATTGGGCTGTCCCCAGGGGTAAGGCAAGTGAGAGTCAGGGGTCAACCCCTGAAAACCTTAACTTTTCCCCTTATGAATGAGACAGGAGCCTCTCTTTAACCACAGCAGCAGTGCTGTAGGGATTATCAAGTGGCACCAAGAAGCAAATGCCCACAGTCATGATGATAATCAGCTTCATCCTGTAGACAGGGCAGGCTGGGGCAGGCCTGCTGCTTGCTTTCTCAATGTGGCTTCAAGCTGGCCTGTCTCTGGGCTCAGTTTCATCATCATCTATAAAAACTGGCTTGGTAGGAGACTACGCTGAGGATGAAGTCAGAGGTTCCAAGGAAGCTTTAAACTTTCTTTGTCCCTACCTCACCAGAGTCAAGGATTAAAACTATTACACACACAGCTCCCCCTTAGTATGGTAAACATCGGCAAACATGATTCAGTTCATTCTCGCCAATCGACCACAGGACAATCTTCCTGGGGCCCAGACAGCGAGGTCTTTCTATGTCTGTACTGGAAAAGATTTGGCAGGCTGGATGGAGCCTCCTAGAAGGTTTAGCCCTTCCTACTGCCCTTTAGGAACCAAGTCCCTCCTTTGAAGTAGTAATCATCTGTAGGCAGAAGCAGGAGGATTGGGGGTTCAAGGTCAGCCTGGACTACAGCATAACACTGTCTCAAAAAAAAAGAGGGGGTCGGAGGTGTAGCTCTGTTGGCAGAGTGCTCACCTAGCATTTGTGAAGCCCCCAGTTCCATGCCTCACACTGCATAAATCCAGACGTGAGTGCACACCTATAATCCCAGTACTTGCAGGTAGGGGTAGGAGAATCAGAAGTTCAAAGTCATCCTTTGCTGTGTCAAGCTCAAGGTAAGCTTGAGCTACATGAGACCTTTTCTCAAAAAAAAAAAAAAAAAAAAAAAAAGTAAAATGAGGTGCAGTGATTTCCACCGTAATCCTAGCACTCTGAAAGCTGAGGCAGGAGGATCAAACATTCAAAGTTAAAAGCTAGGAAAGGTTTTCTGAATTAGGGAAAGCCTCCAGGCAGCTATAGGGAAGCCATCATCCAGACTGGGCAAAGACTTTCCACTGTGGCTGCTGTGGAGTCTCTATGCCCCTGTGAGTTCTGAAAGTAAGTCCAATAAAGTCATTGTTGACGTAAAGAGTTCAAGGCTACCCTTGGCTACAAGGAAAAAAAGGGAAGGAAGGAGATAAGGGAGAGACAGAAAGGGGTAGAAATGGATAAAAGGAAAGGGGTTGGAGAGCTGGCTCAGTGGTTAAGAACACAGTCTTAGCTGGGTGTTAGTGGTACACACCTTTAATCCCAGCACTTGGGATGCTGAGGCAGACAGATCTCTGTGAGTTCGAAGCCAGTCTGATCTACAGAGCAAGTTCCAGGACAGCCAGGACACAGAGAAACCCTGCCTCAGAAAACAAACAAACAGGGGCTGGAGAGATAGTTCAGTGGTTAAGAGTACTGGCTGCTCTTCCAGAGTTCCTGAGTTCAATTCCCAGCAGCTTATAATCATCTGTAATGACAGTTGGTACCCGGTGCCCTCTTCTGGCCTGCAGAAATACATGCAGGCAGAAAATTGTATAAATAATAAATAAATAAACATTTCATTAAAAAAAAAGAAAAGAAAAGAAAAGAAACAAAAAATAAAGAACATAAGACAGGTTCAGTTCTGAGGATACAAATGTTAATTCACAACCACTGGTAACTCCAGAATGCCTTTTTTGACCTCAGAGAACACTAGGCACATACATACTTGCAGGCATTCACACATACACATAAAATAATTTTTAATGGTTTGTTTACTTTTATTTTATGTACATTGATGTCTTGCCTGCATGCATGTCTTTGTGAGGGTGTCAGGTCTTGGAGTTACAGACAGTTGTGAGCTGCCATGTGGGTCCTGGGAATTGAACCCAGGTCCTCCAGAAGGGCAGTCAGTGCTGTTAACTGCTGAGTTATCTTGCCAGTCCCTAAAATAAAAAATTTTTAAGGAATAAAATATATAAAAAACCAATTGAGTCACAAACTTTTTGCATCACCTGAAACGCTTGCCACCTTTAACAAAATTGAGTACCCATCCCCATGTGTATCTACACAATGGAGCTGCCCTTAGGCAAAGCACACACCCTCCAGCTCACCCCAGACCCAGCTCACATCATCACTCCCCTTGTGTACAGATGAATTGATGTGAGCTCATTCACAAGGCTCTGCACTTGGTCCGAGCATCAGAAGCCAAGGTTGGTTAGTTGGGCCCAATGGAAGACCTCCCCATTGGCATCTGGGTGCGGCTTGACTGGAGTCCTGTTAGATCTGGGCTACAGAAACTTCCCTTGAGTAAGAAGCCTACGCAGGTTTTGGAGCTCTTGATGATGAGTGGCAAGGAACTAGCTCCAACCTGGGTTTCTCTAGGCCGATGATCTGGGCCAGGCTCTCCAAGTCCCACTGTTTTCCCACATTCCCAGTTGTTGTCTCATTTGCTGGGCAGAGAGCATCCAGTCTTCCAGGTCCCTGGCCCACCGCATTAGAAGGATCACTGGGGGGCTTCTGTGGGGACCCAGACTCGGCAAGAGCTCTGGATCCCTCCGGTGGGTTCGCTAGTCTATGTTTCATAGTCTGTCTCTTGCTCCATCCCCAAGTGTCTCCAGGAAGATGAACATTGCTTGTGCTGTCACCTGCTGGTTGTAGTCAGAATAGCAAGCCTTTTCCAGTTATTCTTAGGTATTTCTTTTCTCTAGCATACAAGGGGCCACTGTCTAGCTAGAAGGGGCCAAACCTCTTTCCCTACCAATGTGTAACAGATAGGAAGGTGGAACATAACTCTCCAGAAATGTCTAGGAAAGCTACTGTGGTGTTTCCCGTCCCAATAGAGCCCATAATATGCAGTGGGATTCGTGTGGTGGAGGGGCTCCTGTTTGTCTAGAGATGGTTGGTTCATTGTGTACAGGAAGCACTGACCATTTCCTGCAGTGTCATTCCAAGGTTTTCCTCTTATTTGTCTTTTGACACAGCTCATGTAGCCTTGAGTGTGTGTGTGTGTGTATGTGTATACACTCACAAGTATCCATGTATGTCTGCATGTGCAGAAATATAGAGATCAGAGAATAACGTGTAAGAATACATTCTTGGGCTGAAAAGATGGCTCAGCAGTTAAAAAGCACTGGCTGCTTTTCCAGAGGGCCTGGGTTCAATTCCCAGCACCCATGTGACAACTTATAACTGTCTGTAACTCCAGTCCCAGGGGATTTAATATACTGATACATTCACACCAATGCACATAAAATAAAGTTAAATAATATATGCATATATATTATTTAATCTATGCATATACATTATTTAATCTATGCGTATACATATTATTTTTAAAAATAATCCATGTTCTCCTATTGTATGAGTCCTGGGGATTGAACTCAGGTTTTCAGGCTTAGCAGCAAGCACTTTTACCCACTGAGTCATCTTATCAGCCCACACCTGTTTTGTTCATTTTTAAATCTTTTTAAAGTTTATTTATTTTATTTTATGTCTGTGAGTATTTTGCCTGTGTGTAGGTATGCTCCTGGTGCCAGAGGAGACCAAAAGAGGGCACTGAATCCTCTAGAACCGGAATTAGAGACAGTTGTGAGCCACTGTGCGGGTGCTGGGAACCAAACCCAGGTCCTCAGTGTTGCTCAGTGTTACAGGCCTTAGCTCTGAGGTAGGGCAGCAGATGTGTGGAGACCATTTACACTTCTGGGTCATCCATTACCATGCTGTCTGTACCGGTACTGTGCTGTGTTGTGTGGTGACAACCGCCATAAAAAAGTAAGGGGGGACAACCGTTTCTATTCTCTGCCTCCTAACAGTAAGGGCAAATTCACGTTTGGATATTATAAAGTCCCAGGTCGCTTGCCAGGTCCTGGGTCCAGGAGTGTGCTGGCTTCCCCCACTCCTCTTCTTGGCCTCGGTGTAAGGCCTCCACCGCCTTCCAGTGTTTGCTCTGCACCTGTCTGCCCTCCCTCATGCTATGCCCCACATTCTCTGCTTCCACAGTGAATGCTGAGCCAGATGGGTTCACTGATCGTTTCCTGGGCATTAGCCATGTGTCTGATGCAGGATGCAGCACCCCCTTGGATAAACCGAAAGAGTGAAAAGAGGAAAATATTTAAAAGGAGGCTGGGTGGGCTAGAGAGCTGGCTCAAACATTAGGAACACTTGCTGTTCTTGTAGAGGACCCAGGTCCAATTCTCATAACACACAGTGGTAGCCCACACTGCCTGCAGCTCCAGGTCCAGGATACCTGACACTCTCTTCTGGCCTCTGAAGGCACCGTGTGCACTTAGAACGCAAACATACATGCAGGAAAAACATCCATGCACATAAAATAAATAAGTCTAAGAAAAAAATTGGAGAGGCTGGGGGCTGATGAAGATTTCATTTATTGAAGTAATAATCTTGCTAGGGTTTGTGCTTCCGCACTAAAAGAACATGTCTGTGTGCTCAGTGTTTGTTTCCTGTTGGGTTTTGTGAGCTGGCTGTTGCTGGTTTGAGGGACAGGGCCTCACACACTTCAAGCTGACCTCCATCTGTGTGACTCAGCTGGTCCAGAACTCTTGATCCTCTTGCTTCTGCTTCCAGATGCTGGGAGGACAGGCTGCGCCACGGCAGCCCTCTCAAGCTTACTCACTAACAAGGTGCTTCTCAACCTCCCTAACACCGCAGCCCTCTGCAGTTCCTCGCGTTGTGGGGACCCCCAACCATAAAACTATTTTCATTGCTACTTCAAAACTGTAATTTTCCTACTGCTATGAATTATCATGTAAATATCTGTGTTTTCTGATAATCTTAGGCAACCCCTATGAAAAGGTGGTTCGTCCCCCAACCCCAAAAGGGGCCGCCACCCACTGGTTGAGAACTGCTGTTCTCAATGGGAGGGGCAATGTCAGATCCCAGTGGGATCGGTGGCATTCAGGGCACTCTGCATGACAGCTAGCCTGTCTTTGGGAGCTCAAGGGGCAGCTAAGAGGGGAGGCCAGGGCTCCCGTTTGGGAGGCAGAAGCATAGCAGAGAATAACTTGAATTGGACCAAAGAGGAAAAGCTCAACATCCTCAAATGTGAGGAAATGCTTCCTGGTGACTGAAGAATAATATCACACAGAGAATGGCATGCAGGGAGATGGAACAGGTAGACACATTCCAGGGAATCTGAGGCCTTCGTTAGCACTGGGAGAATTTAACTGTCCTGAGGTCAGTGGCAGCCTGCTAAAAAGTTCTTAGTAGAACACACGCCCACGGTCCCAGCATTTGACATACTGAGGCAGGGAGACGGAGACGTCCAGTTCAGCCAGATGATGGAACGTCCTAGGGTGGCAGAGGCACGGGGAGATCGGAGTATTTGGATCCTGGATTGCATTTCTTATTCTCATCTGCATTGTCTTTCGGGGAACGAGCAAGACAGAATTCCTCTCCTGGAAGCTCTTGGTGTCCAGGAGGGCAATGTGAGCTGGTGAATCTTGCCAGCACCACCCACTGAGTTGGCAACCAGCTTGCAGCCAAAACACAGGCGTTGGCCTGGGCCTGGGCAGACGGTTCAGCCACTAAAGTGCTTCTGGCTTAAGCATGAGAACCAGAAGTGCCAGGCAGGTGGGGTAACCTGCCTGTGAGCTCAGCTCCAGGGAGGCAGGCAGGTGGGGTAACCTGCCTGTGAGCTCAGCTCCAGGGAGGCAGACACAGGAGATCCCTGGAGCAAGCTTGCCAGCCAGACAAGCTGAACTGGTGAGCTCTGGGTTCAACTGAGAGACCTTGTCTCAACAAGTAAGGACAAGGATCTAGAAAGATTCCTGACGTCAACCTCTGGCCTTCACATGTACCCAGCCCAGGCATGCATACATGTACCACACACTTATGAGCACACATACACGCAGAAAACAAAACGAACACCTTGGCCTTCTGGTTCTGTTGTGGAGCTGCAAGTGTAGGGAACTGGCCAGGGCAAAATGGAGCTGACTGGGAAAGGGATGAACCACTAGGATCTGGGATCAAGCATTTTACAAAGAAAGAGAAGGTCAACAAAGCCAGCAGGGGTGTAGATCACCTGGGAAGTGGGGTGGGACTGGAAAGGTAAGTTGGGGCCAAATGAGAAAGAGCCTTTGACAAGCTTCTGGGAATCAGAAGACTCTTGAAGGTGATGGTGTGGAAACATGAGGCAGGAAGAAGCCATGGCTTCCCTGGCTTGTAACATGGGAAAGCCAGGAGCTTTCTGCTCCTTCCCAGGCCATCACAGGGTGGGAAATACGGGATGAGGGCAACAGAACAGAGGCAAAGCAGGGGATGTCTCCAAACTATCCTGGGAAACCCTAAAACAAACCCCAGGCCAGCCTGGAGTCAGCTACTCAGTAAAGCCTCCAAAGACGAAAAAGCCTTGAGAAGAAACCTTAAAATAATTCTCAGGCAAGGGAAGGAAGTTAGCAGACTGAGGTCACAAGTCAGTAAATGACAAAGACCCACAACCTGGCGCGGAACTCAGACCTCAGAATCTGTACCCATTCCCATCCCCTGGCTTGCATCTGTTTCCGCAAGTGAGTGGCGCCCCTCTATAAGGCCGAACTCCCCAGCCAGCCAGACTGCCTCCAGCAACAGGGGACACAAAGCCTGAGAGACAGGGAGGATCAGATGGCATGGCCTGGTCTCCAAGGGGAGTGCCTTGCAGGGAGGGTGCCCAGCCCTTGTCTTATTTTAAGTAGAGCCCCATGCTGAATCTGTTTCAGGATGATGAGGGTGGAGAAGGCCGCTTCAACTTCTCCGCCTATGGGATGGGCCCAGCCTGTCTGCAGGCCAAGGATGGCATCTCTGTCAAGGGTGCCAACAACAACAACACCACCAACCCCCCTCCTGCACCATCCAAATCCCCGGAGGAGATGCGGAAACTCTTCATCCAAAGAGCCAAGAAGATCGACAAGATATCGCGCATCGGTTTCCCCATGGCCTTCCTAATCTTCAACATGTTCTACTGGATCATCTACAAGATTGTTCGAAGAGAGGATGTCCACAACAAGTGATGGCTGTGGGGGGGAGGGGGGTTGGGAGAGGGTGGTGGGAGGAGCACAGAGGCTGGGAGCCAGGGGAGGAGGGAGAGAGGGAGAGCGCACACCCATCTCCCTCCAAGTGCAATAGAAACCACAGGGGTGGATACTTCCAGGGTATGGCAATATTCATCTAGCCTCCAAGGGCATGAGGTGGTGGGGAAACCTTTTCAAATACAGCAACTGAGGACCATGAGGGTTAGGGTGGGGGTCAGGGAGGGGGATTGGGGAATCACAGCTTTCAAAATTCAAGTCCATGGCAGGGGGGTATCCTGTTTGGAGGTCAGTGCTGCCTGCCCCAGAGCAGGAAAACAGTGTAATATATGACATATAACCATGCTTAACATTAATGCAAAACCCATGAGAACAAAAGATGCGTCTTTTAAATCAGCCTAGTAACTGCTTAAACTTTTAAAGTCCCCAAAGTGACGGACAACTTCTCCCAGAGTAGAAATGGTCACTAGCAAGCTTGCTGTGGTATGTGCCCACATCACGCCCTTACAAATGCCATGTTGATCTTCAAGCTGACCCCCGTTGACACATGCCAAAAAGCCATTCCACCTCTGCTTCAAGAGGGTCACATGACACCGGCGTGGGTCATGGAGATGGATAAAGGTAGACCAACAGCAGGAAGTGACTGAGGAGAAGGACCATTGCGGAAGCCTGAGGATGGAGAATCCAGGAACCCCCCACAGGGCGCCAAGCTTGCTCCTCTTGCTTCCGCGCTTCAATGCCAGCCCAACTCAGCGCCAGCCCTATGGCCGCCATGGTCTTCTCGTTGTATTACCAATATGCAATCTTTTTTATTGTTGAAAAAAAAGTAATAATCTCAAGAAATAATATGGGGAGAGACTGAGTGTAAACCCATGAACTTTTTTCCAAATGTCTATTTTTTTGGAGAGTCCCTTTGGAACTGCAAGCAGGTGTGTTATGGGAATGTGGACCTGGCTGAAACAGGTCCCAAATGCCAGGTGGGAATCAAGTTTGAAGAGGTGAAAGGGAGGTCGCCGCTGCTGCTGCTGCCCATTCTGTGTGTGGGTGGGAAGAGACTGTGATATTTAGAAAGTCCATTCATTATATTTTGACATTTCATAGATCATAACATGGGAAGTTTGGGGGAATGACCCCATTATATTTTTATAAGTCTTTTTTTTTTTTTTAAAGATGCTTTGCACAGCTTTAACATGTAGGAAAGTTAGACAGATATTTCTCTTTCCTTCTAACTCTGAAGTGCCAGAACGGTCCCAGCCTAGCCAGGGCACTCTAGGGAAAGTGACAGGGACTGCGATGAACTGAACTGGAAGAGGGAGTCCTCCTGACAGATGTGGCTATGCACAGAACCACTGTCCCCATGGCACAAAACCTGTCCCAGTCCTGCGCTCCATGACTAGGGCCCAGGAGTGGCACTTCTGTCCTTGCACTTTACTGGCTTGGCCTTGGGTCAGAGTTATAGGCAGGATAGAGATTGATCTCTGACAATCAGTCGGGCACTTTGCTCATATCCCTCAAGCTAGGGAGCTCAGGGGCAGGATGGAGGAGTGGAATGAAGAGATGGTGTCCACCTGTCCCCTACCATGCACTTTCCCTGGGGAGTTTTCCTCCTTTCCTTGTGGCATCGAAGCTAATAATACCAAGATGGGTCTAAAACAGATGAAGCCAAGACTAAGTCCGATAGCTCTGAGTAAAGAAGGTGCACGACGCAGCCAAGAGGATGAGACTGAACTGCTGGTGCCCCGCCAGGTCTAAGGTCAACCGGCCTGAGCCTCCCCTCCTCTTCAACTATGCGATCCAAAAGGACAATCCACATTTCGGCTCTGGGGGAGGGGACACAGGACCTTTGCTTATGGGAAATCTTGAGCAGTAGGAGTCCCGTGAGTGGGTGACTCTCATCTGAGGTCTGTCTTTTCCCACCCTAAAAATGTTCAAAGCAGGAAACGTGAAGATGGCCTTGAAGAGTTCAGGATGAAGATGCCAGTGTGTGGCGCTCTGAGCATCTTCTATGGTACAAGAGCAGGAATCTTGTCACTCCAAGGCTGCGCATCTTAGGAGAGGCTGCAATTAGCCCTTGCCAGAAGCACTTCATTTTCTTCATTTAGGAAACGAACATCTGTGATGGAAAATAATCAACGGAGCCCTCTCCTTACTGTGCTCAGAGTGACTCCAGTCTAGGTGAATAGGGCGACCACGGGGAGCATCGGAATCTATGCTGAGTCACGTCTCTCACACAAAACCACCCAGCACCTTCCAAAACGGTCTCCATGGCAAGCATCTGAAGTCACCCTGAGATAGAAAAACCAACAAACCATTTGCCCAGTCTCAACTGGGCTCCTGGGTCCCTGTGTCATCATTTTGGAATGGTCCATTGTGAGCTGCCTGACCTGGGTGCCAAATCCAGCAAGCAATGGGCTCACATCTTTGAGACATACTGGAGAATGTCACTGAAGCCCTTCAGACTATAAGCAAAGAAACAGCTTGAGTCAAGCCCACGGTTAATACACAGAGTGTTCTTGGGTACATTGCAAGCTTTTATCTCTCTGAATGCACTGTGGAGAGAGTAGCATCAGAACTCTCCCTGGCTCTACCTGCTGTGACTCTCTGCTTATACTGAGAATCTTCGCCCAGCCTAAAGCCTACCATCATTTTGATTTCTCAGGGCTCGGTGCAAGTGTGTAGGTTTTATTCACAGGTGCACTGACCAGCACAATTTCTGTTGCTTCTCTTTGTCAGGAAATCTGCAAGTTTGTTTTTCCTCTTTTGATCAAAACCCAAAAGGAGAAGAGAGAAGGGAAGGAAGGAGGGAAGGGAAAAAAGGAAGGGATTTGAACTAGATAAGTTAGGCCAAAGCTTTCAGGTGATTCCAATAAACAGGGCAAGGCTTTCCTAGTTCCCCTTCAGGTTGAGCACAAAGGGCCTTATGCCCTGAGATTACAGATGAAAGACGGATGGTTCCATATATGGAAATCTGATGTCCGTGCAGAGAATGGCGCACTGGTTTTGAAGCTCTTCTTCAGTACGGACTGACGCTGCTCGTGCATAGTGTGAGCCTTGGAAAGGGGTACACAGGAGTAGATGACTTCAACTCACCTCCAGAGCTGCACTTTATTCTAGGAGTCAGGTGGGGACTCCAGCTGCCTCTCACCCTGCTAGCTTGAGGGAGCCCACTGTTTTGAGAAATAAACAGCTCCACTCCGCCCTCTTCTGGAAATTCCTAGCACCTGCAAGACCCTTCTTGGCAAAGGCAATAATGGAAAATGTGTGTGTGTGTGTGTGTGTGTGAGAGAGAGAGAGAGAGACAGAGAGAGACAGAGACAGACAGAGACAGACAGAGACAGACGGACAGACAAAGAGATCTATTTTTCTATTAACTCCAGAAGAAAAAAGGAAGTTTTACCCTAATTATTTCCTCTTCTAAACTATCAATAAATAGGAAAGTAATTCCTTTCAGAAGTGTACCAATATTTTCCATAGCCTTTTTTTTTCAGACTTGGGAGACAAACAAGAAGGCTGGTTCACTTCCTCCAGTACGTGCATCTTTATGAGCATCATAAAAAGAAGTAATGTCTTGTGAGGCGCCATGACGTAAGACTGCAGGGCAGCTTGGCTCTCCAGTCAAGGTGGTACTGCCACACTGATAATGGTCTTCTGTCTTACTTGATTGCAACATGCTGAAGCCGAAGGGGGTTGTCACATCCCCGGCAATGACTGCATCCTTCAGAGATGACAAGCAGAGTGTATCCTCTTCAGGGCTCAGAGAGTCAGAGCCTTTTCCCAGTTAGACTGGAAGCCCGGTTCAGAATGATGAACACCATGCTAGAAGCTATCGGTATCTATTTCAGGAACAGCTTCAGTACTTTCCACCCCCCTTTACCCTGCCCAGGCAGGTGAGGCTGGATTTTCCCAGGTTGTTTTTTGAATTGGTAAGTGGCCAATAAGTTTCTGAGTGGGTGAATGACTTCTACCCATTGAATCAACTGAAAAAAAGATGCCGCCACCCAAGCAAGCAGGAAGCACATTCTTTAAATAGAATATGGATTCTGTTTTTCTACTTCAGCAGCCTGAAGCGAGAGCCACTTTCTTTTTATCTAGTTCTAAGAAACAGTAGCAACAGTCTATGACAAGAGAGGAGAGAATGTGCCTTGCTTTACTGGCTCAACCATGAGAACTCTGTCTGTGCGAGGAAAACATGCATCCTGGCAAGGGTTTAGTCTGCTGGACTCTGACATCCCAGTAACAGAGAGGACGTCCTTGAGTGGGTCAAAATCCCCAGAGAAATGAAGAACTCTCCGTTGGAAGAGCGCTTGCCTGGTGTGTGGACTGGCGAAAAGGGGAGACAGACAAAGGGTGAGTGATGGACAACAGTGTAGGTTTTTATCGGAGAGAGAAGCCTTCAAAGGAGGGGTCTAGTATAGGAGGCTGGGGTACTTACAGAGAAGAAGGGAAGGGAGCTCACCCGACACCCTCTGGAAGCTCTCTCAACCCACCCATAGTCTCCCTAAGCAGTGTGACTCCAAAGCCTAGAGCACCTTTAACATCCAGTCAAGATGAAGCACCCACAGCACACAATGAGTCAGAAGAGTCAAAGATAACTAGCCCAAGACAAAGCCCGACAGAGGGTATCCAGACCTGGTCCCACAGAGGATGGGGAACTGAGGTTTGAGACCGGCTGGTGTCCATTTATCTCTTCCGTGTACATGTTTTTTTAACCTTCCACAAATTATTTCACTTTCCATGATCTTGAAGAAACCTTAACTTTCCAAACTGTTGATGAGCATAACATTGAAGAAGTTAAATGATCAATGTTTTGTTATTAAAAGTAGAATATAGATGAGCTATTGCACTAAAATGCATCTGAGAGCTACAGATCAAAAGTATGGATGTTTGTTTAAGTACATCTCAGTATACAAATGTTTAACATCCTAATTACCTCTCAAATGCTGGTGGATATCATCTTTTACGAGATTAGAGATCAAAGATCT